TCTGGAAGAGCAGTCAGTGCTTTTAACCACTGAGTCATCTCTCCAGCCCCTTATACATTTGATTGTTATAGATAACTATTTACCTGTCTTTTTTATTATCCTAAATGGCTTTTAAGGACTAAAACTTTATATTTTTAAATGAGCTGCATAAGTGCAATACCTTAAACAAGAGTAGAAACATACATACAGTAAAACAAAAATAACCTTAAACTTGTATCAATATACAATAATCCATACCCTTGTAAAATATTTGAGACTGGTGCTTGTTCAAAACTAGACTCAAGGGCCGGGCGGTGGTGGCACACGCCTTTAAATCCCAGCACTCGGGAGGCAGAGGCAGGCGGATCTCTGTGAGTTCGAGACCAGCCTGGTCTACAAGAGCTAGTTCCAGGACAGGCTCCAAAACCACAGAGAAACCCTGTCTCGAAAAACAAAAAAAAAACAAACAACAACAACAACAAAAAACTAGACTCAACAATTTACCCTTGTATCTCATCATTTCTACACTATATCCCCCACTTTTCCCTTCAGAAAGAGAACCCTGAATCTAATCTTCATTGTTTAGCCTTTTTCCTGACCATGACCTACACAGCCAACTCCCGTAAATGATGACAAACATCCATAACCCACCAAATGGCCAAAAACCACCCACCCCACCTCTTGGGAATGTGGATGTTGTATTCTCTAGACTGCGTCTTGTTGTCTGGTGGTGAAAGCATCTTTAAGGAACCCTGAGAAAATTATGATAATGGTTAAGTCCAGGGAAAACTAGCTGTAACTTTTGTTGTCCAGTCTCTGTGTAATGGGAAAGTGCTGGCATTGTCTGGAGTCCTGGTTAGAGTAGTCTGTGAGGCTGAACCATTCCAGTTAGCAACTTGAAGTTGTTCTGGTGCAGAATTTTGAGGAGACTGGCACAGAGGCACTCTAAGAGACCGGATCACCTGAGCTACTTGCCTTTATTGGTTTCTGGTCCTTTTATATTATTGAAAAGACATAAACTTTTAAAGGTAGCAAATATCTACATTAACATAGTATGGAATGTGGGGTGTGCACAAGTCAGTTAAAGATGATTTTTTTTTGTTCTATGTTTGAGTGAGTAAAATCATCTGCCAACTTTGTAAGTTCATTTGGACTATATAATCAAACTAATATAAATCTTTATCCATGCCACATGAAAGAATGGCATATAATAATAAGTCATGAGGACTCTGTAGCCAACAAGATTTATCATTTCAAAACTGCTCCCATAGTAGAGATATCAGCATATTTGGCACCTGTCCTGTAGTCTTTCTTGGTTTCTTTTTTCATGTCTGCAGCCAAGGTTTTCAGAAGGTCTTCTCCAATCAAATCTGACCTTTATTAATTTTGAAGAGAATCATAACTTTTTGTTTCCTGTGGAAACAAAGGCATTACTTCTCTCACAGCAGAACATATTTTCTGGCTTTCATTTTAAAATTGAGACATTCTTAAAATATATAGGTTGGTTTAATTTAGCAGTTTCCATAATTCAATATCTCATCAGCTATGTTTTTTGTTTATTAGCACTTAAAAATTCAGAGTCAACAAATCACCATACAAGATTCAGATGCCCTGTGTATTTCCATCTTTTTTTGTTTTTTAAGACAGGGTTTCTCTGTGTAACAGCCCTAGCTGACCTGGAACTAGCTCTTGTAGACCAGGCTGGCCTCGAACTCACAGAGATCCACCTGCCTCTGCCTACTGAGTGCTGGGATTAAAGGCGTGCTCCACCACTGCCCAGATACTTTACTCTCTCTTTAAAGACTTCACTTTATTATTTTAAACTATTTATTTTTCTGTGACTGGCTATACAGACTTTCTTTTCTTTCTTCAGCACCTAAGCACATTTTTAAGCATAATATATCCTTTTAGAGGCTTTCTCAGTCTGGACCTGACTCTATTGCATGCCTGCAGCATTCTCTGACAGCAGGAGACAAACCTTAAATGGCTAGGGTACCCCTGCAGAGTGAGGCTGGAGGCTGGCTTCACTCCCTCGGTTCTGTAATAGCCGAGCCTCGTGTCTGCAGGTACTGGCAAGAGCCACATTTACCACCCCAGCTCTGGGAATTTGCTGGGTCCAAGGGTGGCAGGTGTTTTTATATAGCAAGCTGGCTGCTCAAGTATTCTGCTGCACAGCAGGGCCTCTTAAATGAGGCACACCTCTGTCTGCCAAGCCTACCTGAGAGATTGTGGTCCAGGAAGCTGTGTTCAGAATTTTTTTTTTAGCTTTCTTAGGACTTATGTGGATATATGTGACCCCAAGTTGGACGCCATATGTAATGAGTCTTTTGTTTTCTGTCCTGCTACCTAAATAATGACACAAAGATTTATTAATTACAAAAGCTCAGCCTAGTCAGGCAGTGGTGGTGCATGCCTTTAATCCCAGCACTTGGGAGGCAGAGGCAGGTAGATCTCTGTGAGTTTGAGGCTAACCTGGTCTACAAGAGCTAGTTCTAGGACAGGCTCCAAAGCCACAGATAAATCCTGTCTCAAGAAACAAAAATAAATAAATAAATAAATAAGCTCAGCCTATAGCTTAGGCTTGTTCCTAATTAGCTCTTATAACTTAAATTAACCCATTTATATTAATCTATATTCTATCATATGGCATTACCTCTCTTTCATCTTGCACCTCCTTTTCCTCTCCGTGTGTCTCCTGGCATCTTCCCTGTGCCTTGGTTATTTCCTCCTACTTCCTCTCTCTGCCTAAGTCCCACCTATCTCTCCTGCCTAGCTATTGGCTGTTCTGCTTTTTATTATACCAGTCACAGCAATACCTCGTCACAGTGTACAGATATCCTACAGCAGACATTTCTTTCTTAAGGCTCATAGATTGAAGGGATCTTAACATATAGTAAGGACACAATGAGGAGTCAAACTGACAGTTCCCATCTTGGGACCAAAGACAGATCTCTTTGGCTCCCTCTCTAGAGCATCCTCTGGAGAGTTCTTAGCTCCCCTTAGTCCTTTTCTCATAGACACTCATGAGAAAGAGACACTGTCATATTAGTCACTTTCCTGATATGAGCCTGGACCCCTTTTTCCCCATCTTCATGGGGACCATGAATAAGCAGACTGTTCAGACTGTCCATTCCTACACATGGGACCCTTTAAAACCTTTGAGATTATTGAATTCTCTGATTTTAAACTTATTGTATCAGATCCTCATCTTCATCCAGCAAAACTCCTGGAATGTGTATGTGTGTAATTCTAACACACACACACACACACACACACACACACATATATATATATATATATATATACATGCCAAAGACATCAGTAAACTTTTAATTACTGTAAGTAAGTTAGAGAGAGTTTGGGCTCCCTCATGGGTAAAGCTTTCAGTATTTCCTTTAATCATTCCCTTGACCCTGGTTCTTTAAATTTATTTTCCATCAATCCCCATTATTTCTCAATCTAGATAGGATGCAAACATGATAGCACTCACGCTACATTTCCCCTTTTAAAGTTGGCTTCCTATAAGTAAGACTTCCTGGGTTAGGAAAACCTTAGTATAATTTCCCACATGGAGAATGCTGTTTTCTCTGAGCATGCTTATGTCACAAGAACTAGAAAATGAAAACAAATGCCCTGGGTTCCCAGGGCATCATGGGAGCACGACAAGAGTGGACAGCAAAGGTGGAACAGAGGAGTCCCCGGTAACTTAGCAGAAAACAAGCTTGGAGATTTCAAGCAAAGAGGAAACATTGAGGGGGCTGGAGAGATGGCTCAGAGATTAAGAGCACTGACTGCTCTTCCAGAGGTCCTGAGTTCAATTCCCAGCAACCACATGGTGGCTCACAACCATCTGTAATGAGATCTGGTGCCCTCTTCTGGCATGCAAACATACATGGAAGGAATGTTGTATACACAATAAATCTAAAAAAAAAAAAAAAGAGGAGACATATTGAGACCTGCACAGACTGCATCTCCAGCCTCCTACAGTGATGGATTTCTCATCTCCAGCTGTTGTAGCTGCCCTCTGGCAGCAGCTAGGCAAGTGCCTGGACATCTACTCTTTTGGTTCTCCTTGGGTTCTGTGCTTTCCCAAGATTTGGCTCTGGGCTGATCAAATTCACACGAGCCTTTCAAGTCTTACCATTCCAAATTGCCAGCTTCCTTTGATGCCTAGCTAGTGTTGGAGGCATACGGCTGAGAATGCTCTTATGTCCCCTTTAGAGGTAGTTAAGTATAGGAGGCAACAATCTCCACGTTATTCGGTTTAAAAGAAAACTGCATCGACTTTGTAAGTGTGCGTATTCTTGTGTGTGGAGTCCGAGGATGACGTGAAGGGATTGAGGGTTTCCTCCAACCTGGTGGACCAGGGTCTAACTCAGGTCATCAGGCTTGGTGGCAAGTGACCTCACCATGTGAGCTATCCTGCTAGCATGATCCCCAGCTGTGTGAAAACCACAAGACAGCTTCCTCTGTGGCTGCTTGAAGTAGAACTGAGGGAGCCTCTTACATCACTGGGAAGCCAGGACCAAGTTCAAGATCCAGTCAAAGGTGATTCTGTTACAGGAAAATCAGGACCGGCCATCGCTAAGGTCAACTGGCCCCCCACCATGCTGGGCAGTAGCTTAGGAGCAATGGACTGTGATAGGGTCAAAGGTCGTCTTCTTTCCAGGCTGGATGGAAATCCAAGATGACCCTAACTGACCCTCCGGCCTCAACTAGGATGACAACCTGGACCACACGCCCAATTTGGGGGGGGGTGCTTCAACACACGACCTTGTGTGACACGTTAGGGAAACACTAGCAACTGAGCCCCGGTTCACACACTGCTGGTGTGTGTGTGTGTCCTTTAGACAAGGTCTGTCTCTTTGGTTTTTCAAGACAGGGTTTCTCTGTGTAGTCCCGGCTGTCCTGGAACTCGCTCTCTAGACCAGGCTGGCCTCAAGGCCTCAGAGATCACCTGTCTCTGCCTCCCGAGTGCTGGGACTGAAAGTGTACACCACCACACCAAACAGGTTGTTGAATTTTAATTTTAGCTTTTTTGACTATTTAATGATAAAGCAATATAAAAATTTTGACTCTCCCCTCCATATGTTCGGATGCCCTCACTTTGCTAACATGATTTATTCACTCCCTTTCACCTAGTTTGTACAAAGATAGCTTCACCCAGATGCCTAAGGACAGCTGCGGCAGGGCTAGAAGTGCTGGAACCTGGAGCAGGCACTGGGACGACACTGAGTGTGGTAAGGCTGCAGCCGTCATTGTGGCTGCGGGACTCAAGGAGTAGATTCCACCCGGTAGGAAACAGGGATATGTAACACAGACCGCCTGGGCTTCAGTGTCACCTGGATCATGGGAGCAAATAGTGCTTAAGGAAGTATGGTCAGTGGGGGGAAGGACCTAGAGAACTGGGGATCCTAAGGTTAAGTCCCAAGTTTGTGGAGACATCAACCCACAGTCCTTCCCCAGTTCACTGGAGAGCAAGCATCTCCACGAGGTACAAAATCACTGGTGCCCACTGGGGCCTTCCTCCTCCACAGCCCCTAAGTGTCCTGGGCCACTGGTGATGGGGATTACCCTGGGGCTATATGAGAGTCCTCAGATGGAGAACCCAACTCCTGCCATCAGAAAACCAGCAACGAGTGCACTCCCTCTGTGGGCTGGTTTCTCCACTTCCCCTATACACAGGATGTACGATGTGTAAAGCTCTTGCTTAAAACACCACCGGGCAGACAGATGGGGACCTGGGCGGGCAGCCTCAGAGCTGGCGTGCTAACCGTGCTAACCGTGGGGCAGCTCTCTGCCCCCAAGTGACAGAGCCTAGAAGGTCCCCAAACAGCTCTGGATGAAAGATGGAGTGGATTGACCCGCATTGAGGGATGTGGATTCAGGGGAAGCTTGGAAGGCACTTTGGAGAGTCACTAATACCATGAGTGGCTCTGACTCTGTCCCTTGTAAAACCAGACAACAAGCTTTCAGGTAAACGCCAGGGAAGCAAGACAGTTCACGGTAGGTTCAAGGCCACGCTGGTGGACCTGAGCTAGGGAGGCTGCTAGGGCTAAGGTGGACAACATCTTCAGCCAGCAATATGGACAGCAGGTCATGTACCTGAGAAGTGGTTTTAAGGTAGAAGGCATGGAGTGTCCCCTCCATCACCGATGGAGGGTGATGCCGCCTAAGCCATCCCCATCAAAATGCCTTGTGATGCAGTAAGCAGCTGCATGGGTGTCCCACGCCCTGAGACAATGCTGAGCGGAGCCTGGGGTGTGGGCTCTAACCAGGACTGTCTGAGTATATCAACATGGAGAGAAGAGGGGAAGTTGGAGGGAGGAAAGAGGTGTCCTGAGCTTGGAGATGGCCCCTGTGGCTCACAGTTTGGCTGCAGTCCTTGAAGAGGCAGGAGGGGACAGATGTGGGGAGGTCAGGGGTCACCCTTAACAGCCACAGCTGCTAGGCTGGGGGGGCGGGGCATCCCCGAGGGCCGGGCCTTTTCCGTTGCTGCCTGGGCTAGAGCTTGGTTCCAGGGACTCATTCATCTTCTCACAGATGATGTCCACAAGACGCTCAAACACCTGCTTCACATTGACATTCTCCTTGGCGCTGGCCTCAAAGAACTCAAAACCTGGATGGACAGAAAGTGGGGACAGTTGCGGCAGTCATGTTAGTCCCAAGAGGCTGGACTTGTTCCGACCTGTATTCTGAGCTCGTTCCTGCCTGATCCGCTGTGGGGGGGGGGAGGGGTGCACATGTATGTTTGGGTATGTTCCTCAGCCACCGGCACCATTCTTTCTGAGACAGGGTCTTTCAATGACTTCAAACTCACCAAGTAGGCTTGGCTCTGGCCCATAAGCCCCTTGGGATGACAACTGTCCACCACCACGCCTGACTGAAGGTAGGTTCTAGAGTCCTTCCCAGCCTCTTTTAACCCTTTTAAGTCGTGAGACAAATCTCACTGTGTAGCAATGTTGAGCTAGTTCGCAGAGCCTCTAACTTAGCAATCTTCCTGCCTCAGCTGTCAGAGAGCAGTGATCACAGGCTGTACCATCATGCTTAGCTAAGAGTCTTCAGGAGACAGGCGGTTCAGTGGTAAAGGTACCTGTTGCCAATTCTGATGGTTTGAGTTCAATCCCCAGAACATACAAGACAGAAGGACAGACAGCAGCATGTGCCACACACAGACCCTAAATAAATTATGGGGCTAAAGAGATGGGTCAGCCACTAAGAGCACTGGTTGTTCCTCCAGAGGACCTGGGTTCAATTCCCAGAACCCATGTAATAGCTCACAACTGTCTAAAACTCCAGTGCCAAGGGATCTGATGCCTTCTTTTGACCTCTGCAGGTACTGCAGCACATAGAACACACACAGGCAAAATACCCATACACATTAAAAACAGAGAAGTCAGACAGTGGTGGTGCACACCTTTGATCCCAGGCGAATCTCTGTGAATTCAAGGCCAGCCTGGTCTGCAGAGCTAGTTCTGGGACAGTCAGAGCTACACAGAGAAACTCTGTCTCTAGACCTGCCTCCCCTTGAGAAAATAAAAATAAAAAGTGTAATTTAAAACAGTAAAAAGGGGAGCTGGGTTGTGGTGGTGCACGCCTTTACTCCCAGCACTCAAGAGGCAGAGGCAGGCAGATCTCTGTGAGTTCAAGGCCAGCCTGGTCTACACGAGCTAGTCCCAGAACAGGCTCCAAAATTACAGAGAATTCCTGTCTCAAAAAGGAAAACAACAAAAATAAAAATAAATAGTGTAATTTAAAACAATATAAAAGGAGCTGGGTGGTGGTGGTGCATGCCTTTAATCCCAGCACTCGGGAGGCAGAGGCAGGTGAATCTCTGTGAGTTCGAGACCAGCCTGGGTCTACAGAGCTAGTTTCCAGGACAGGCCCCAAAGCTACAGAGAAACCCTGTCTCAAACACACACACACACACACACACACACACACACACACACACACACCAGTGTAAGGGGGGCTACAGAGATGGCCCGGGTGGAAAAGTGCTGGCTTTGCAAGAATGAGGGCCTGGGTTCAGATGCCCAGCACCACTTTTTTAAAGCCTGGCATGGCAGAGCATGCTTGTGACCCCAGTGCTGGGGAGGGGCAGCACTGGAGCTCGCTGGCCAGCTGGCCTAGCCCACTTGTGGAGTTCCAGACCAGTGAGAGACCCCGTCCCAGAGAAAGGGTGGATGTTCTCTAGGGCCTCCACATGCACACACAAATGTAATGAAATCAGGGCAGAGTGCACACCCGTAATCCCGGCACTATAAGCATGACCGAGCAGGAAGACTACTGATTTCGGAGCTACAAAGTTAGACCCTCTGTCAAAAAAAAAAATAAATATAATGTGTAACATGCATAAGGCCCTGGGTTTGGGCCCTAGCACTGTTTTCAGGAGAGAAGGAGAGAATTGGTGAGCTAGCTCAGCCTCCAAAACCATTTGCCAGGCTAGCCTGACTAGCCTGACTGAGCTCAGTCTCTGGAAGACACAGTGGGACATAAAAACCTACTCTTAAAAGTTGTCCTCTGACAACTGACCTCCACCTGTGCACTGTGGCACACACAGAAATAATTTTTAAAGGGACATGACAAATAAGCTTTTTATTTATTTGTTTCTGTGTAGCCCTGGCTGTCTTGGAACTTACTCTGTAGACCGGACTGGCCTTGAACTGCCTCCCAAGTGCTGGGATTAAAGGCATGTGCCTCACTCCTGATAAGTAATTTTTTTTTGCTTTTGTTTTTGTTGTGTGTGTGCGTATGTGTGCGTGTGTGTGTGTGTGTGTGTGTGTGTGTGTGTGTGTGTGGTAGCTAGGCACATACTCAGAACTGCTCAAAGCTCCAAGCCAGCCAGGGCTGCAAAGCGAGGCCATCTCCCCAACTCAGAAAGGACATAAAGGGAGCTGGAGCCTGGATGGGAAAACGATGAAGTCCATCTGATTTCTAGGATTAAGTGTCATCCTGATTAGGTAAATATTCGGTTTCTACCTCATACTCCTCTCTGCTAAAAATGGACCAGCCCGAGGGCATTATTCTCTCTGCAGCTCTCGGCCCTTGATACAAATCATATACGAGGAAGACACTGAGCTATTTTTCAGAGCAGGATTGGAAACCAGGGCAAGATAGGTACTTTACCACTGAGCCAAGCCCTCAGCCCTTCACTGGGGATTCTAGGCAAGGGCTCTACCACTGAGCCATGCCTTCAGCCCCTCACTGGGGGATTCTGGGCAGGGCTCTACCACTGAGCTATGCCTTCAGCCCCTCACTGGGGGATTCTGGGCAGGGCTCTACCACTGAGCTATGCCTTCAGCCCCTCACTGGGGGATTCTGGGCAGGGCTCTACCACTGAGCTATGCCTTCAGCCCCTCACTGGGGGATTCTAGGCAGGGGCTCTACCACTGAGCCACACCCCAGCCCCTCACTGGGGGATTCTAGGCAGGGGCTCTACCACTGAGCCACACCCTCAGCCCCTCACTGGGGGATTCTACTGCTCAGCTCCAGCCCTGAGTGAATGCTTAGAAGCCGCGTGCTGAGTAACTCAATGGTGAATATGGTGGAATGATGAACTCAACTCTTCAGAGCCTGGTGAAATCCCTGCTGCTCTACTACCTTCACGGCAAACTTGGTGTTTTATTATCTGTGTCACCTCCCCACTCCCACATCTGAATTTTTTATATTTCTTTTGTTTGTTTGGGTTCTTCTCTCGTTTTAATTGTTTGTGCTTTGAGTTCTTTGTTTTGTTTTGTTTGAGACAGACTCTCACTACATAGCCTTGCTAGATCTAGAACTTGTTATTGCTGCCCAGGCCAGCCTTGAACCTCTGCCTTTTAAGTGTCTTTTCTTTGGTTCGAACAGGGTCCAGCCGGCAGTTCCAGCACCTTGGGAGGTTAAGTTCATGAGTCTAAGCTCAGCCTGTGCTACATAGTGAAACTGCCCAAAAAACAATAAAAAATGTAAAACCTAGGTTGGTGGTGTTGCTCAATGGTCAGGTGCCTACTTAATGTATGGACAGCCCTAGGTTCAGCTCCCAACACACACACACACACACACACACACACCACATCACAAACACACCACACATGCAAAAGCAAGCAAAAAAAAAATGGTGAGATTTACTTCACTCAGGTTTCAGAATACATAAAAAATAGGTAGTAGATGCTGGATATTTTAGCGCACTCCTCTAATCCCAGCATTTGGGAGGCAGAGGCAGGTGGATCTGTATGAGTTTGAGGCCAGCCTGGTCTACTGAGTTTCATAGCTGAGTTTCATCGCAACTAGGATTATACACTGAGACTCTATCTCAAAACAACAACAAAACTAGGTGGTGGGCTATGGTATATTAATACCTAATATGGAAATGGTTTTAAAAGAGTGAAGACAGGCAGGCGATGGTGGCGCACGCCTTTAATCCCAGCACTCAGGAGGCAGAGGCAGGCGGATCTCTGTGAGTTCGAGACCAGCCTGGTCTACAGAGCTAGTTCCAGGACAGGCTCCAAAGCCACAGAGAAACCCTGTCTCGAAAAACCAAAAAAAAAAAAAAAAAAAAAAAAAAAAAGAGTGAAGACAGGACACCAGGGTAATCAACTGGGTTCCCAGGACAGGGGATGTATTCTCTGAAATGGGAGAGCATGCTTTATACATGGGCATGTTGGTGGGTTATCTCGGAGTAAGTGTGTGGTGTGTGTGTGTGCATCTGTGTGCAGGTGTCTGAGTGTCTCCTGGAGGTAGAGGAGGACATCAGGGGCCCTGTTTCTCACACCCATCTTATCCCCCTGAGACAGGGTCTCTCACTGAACCTAACGCTACCCAGACAGCCAGCAAGCCCCAGTGATCCTTGTCTCAGCCTCCTCGCAGTGCTGGGGTTACAGGCATGAAGAAGGGTGTGCATGTGCATATATGTGGCCATGTCTGACCTCTTATGCAGGCTTCACATCTGCATAACAAGCATTCTCGCCCACTAAGCCATCCCACAGCCCCAGCACGTGGGCATCCCCCTCCACCAGACCCTTAGTTAACCACGGTGGAACTGGGCCTCAAGCGTGACAAGGGTTTGAAACGAGATGTGACCTGTGGTTCAGGCTGGGTACTAACCAAGATCATCAGCAAGCCTTCGGCCATCCTCGGCAGGTACGACCCGTTCATCCTCCAGGTCACACTTGTTCCCCACAAGGATCACCTGGGCATTATCCCAGGAGTAGGTCTTGATCTGTGTAGCCCTGTGGAGTTGTGGACATTGAGAAGGAGGTTAAAGGTGGGCGGGGGAGGACACAAAGGCCTGTGGCATATCAGTGGTTGGCCAGCACTCACCAGTCCTGCACAGCGGTGAAGGACTCTTGGTTGGCAATGTCATACATGAGCAGGAAGCCCATGGCTCCACGGTAGTAGGCCGTGGTGATGGTCCGGTAGCGCTCCTGGCCTGCTGTGTCCTAGGCAAACAGCAGTCAGTCAGCTGGGGCTCACCTGCTCCCTACCTGACTCTGCAAGGCCCTGAAAGGGACACACGTCTGCCCTTGTGGTCCAATCTGATGGGGAGGCATGGTCCTGCCCTCCCAGCCCTCGCTGCCCATCTGGTGTGAGACATTATAGGCTGTATCACCAGGTTGTCCCATCTTGAGAACTCTGCTAACTGACTCGGCTCTACCCTGGATGGGCTCCAGTGTGAAGGGCTGGATGACAGGCTCCTATCTATGAGCTTCCCTAACCTCGTTTCCATGAGCCAGTGCGAGAGTCACAATGAAGAGCCATCTGGGCCTCAGGCCACCATCTTCGATCTGCCACCTGGTCACCTTGTTACCATGATGATACCAACAGCTGGACTAGGGACAGGGCATAGCTCTGAACCTGGCAGCCTCCATAGGGGTCCCCAAGATGATCCCCACCTTCTTCCTCACTCGTCACTGACTCTTCTAGCACGCACCTTGTGCATCTTGTCCCTCCACCCAGGGCAGGGCATGTCCCACATCCCAATAAATTTACCTCAGAGATAAAAGATACCTCCCCGCCCCGAGCTGCTTTCTCGGGTCAGATTCTCTGCTGATGGCCCCCCACTTCCCACACGGCTATCCAACCCACCCAGATCTGCAGCTTGATCCTCTTGTCGTGCCGGTAGACTGTCTTGACCTTGAAGTCGATGCCCACGGTGCTCACGAAGGCGGGGGTGAAGGAGTCGTCCGCATAGCGGAACAGGAAGGAGGTCTTGCCCACACTGCTATTCCCGATCAAGAGCAATTTGAACATGTAGTCAAAGTTCTGGTCGGCTGCATCCCTTGGGCTGGCAGGAGGCTCACTAGCGGAGGCCATCTTGGTGGAATCTGCTTGGAGGGGAGGCCTGAAATCCTAATGGGAACGAATGGAATCCTGCAAGGGGCAGGTACCAACAACTGAGCCTAGGAGTCTGGGCTCTGGAGTCAGTTCTTAGAACACGTGGATCCGGGATCCAACTCAGGTTATCAGGCTGGGCAGCAAGTGCCCTTACCTGCAAAGCCACTCCCTAGCCCTCGTTTGTTTCTCTCTCTCTCTCTCTCTCTCTTTTCTCTCTCTCTTTCTTGAGACAAGGTCTCACTCTGGAGCCTAGTCTGGCCTCTAACTCCCAGTCCTGCTGCCTCTGCAGCCAAGTGCATGGCGGGGTGGGGGCAGGCATGTACTTCCACCTTGGGGCTGGAGTTCCAGGTGCTCATGACTGCCTGACCTGTGCGTTAGGAATCTAAGTCAGGTCCTCTAAAAGAGCAATACCTGCTCTCAACAGCTTATCCATCTCTCCAGTCCTCATTCTTTTCTTCTTCTTTTAGAAAAGGTCTCATGTAGCTGGCCTCAACTCCCCACGTGGAGGATAAGGGCCTGAAGCTTCTGATCCTGCCTCTGGACCTGGGATTACAGGTGTGTACCCCAGTGCCCTTCCTAATGAGTCTCATTATTCATCAACAAACCTTGGCCCATTCCTCGGCACCAGGCACTGAGCTCTGAAGAGACAGCTGTGCATAAAACCGAAAAGCACTCACCTGTGTGGAGGGCTGTGGCTAACCTTTACACAGAGGTGAAAGTGGGGTCTGGGGATGGTGGTGGAATGCTCGCTTTAGGTTTCAGCCCCAGTAAACCAGGTGTGATGTGCACACCTGTAATTTCACCACTAGAGACGTAGAGACAGGAGAATCCGCAGTTCAAGGTCATCCTGCACTACTTTGGAAGTTTGATACCAAACTGTGCTACATGAGACCCTGTCTCCAAAAAAAAAAAAAAAAAAAAAAAAAAAGGCAGAATGGAGCCTTTATAGTGGAAGGTTTTCTGATGGCGAGGAAGTCGCACGGGCTGCAGACTGGACTTTGCCCAGCGCAAGCAGCTGGTATGGCCAGGTGTGAGCTAGAGGGGGGGTGACTGCCAACTAGACAGAGCCCCCTCCATCAGGGCCTGGGTGTTGACTTAGCTGGTGTCTGCCACTGGGCGCCTGTTCTTCCCCCTTTAAGTCCACTTTAACTATTCCCTGTCTTCCAGGGTAAGGGATATTTCTATAAATACAGCATGCGTTAGAACCCCAGTTAAGCTTCCAAGTGGATACCTGTCTTTTTATTTGTCAAAGGGGCCGGACCTGGCTCCCTTTTGGTCAAAGCTGATTCATCTCAGTCATGGTATACAGAGACAGGAATGAAAGTCATCAAATCCGACGGAATTATCCTAGCCACTCAAAGATCACAAAACCCACCCTACTCCATATCCTTTTATTTATATCTGTCCACACTCCAGCATGCTGTTAAATCCGAATCTAGGGTTCCCTTCCAATCTCCCCGGGATTCAGTGTTCTCAGCTGTCTAGAGTCGCTCTCTGAAGCCCAAGCAAAAGTATTTCTCAATGGCCCTCGATGTTTTCTGTTTCTCTGCCCCGTGCATTTCCAAAGAGAACGCAGCCAACCCCACCCTATGTTCCGGGAGAACGGGTTTGAGGAGGGACCGCAAAGCGTCCGCCTGGCAGGGCCTTCAGGCTGGCCCCCGCCCCACCGCGGCTCCTTTTCCGGGACGATTAGGGGTTCCCGGGTCCTCAAGGCGGGCATCCAAGCTGTCAGTGCACTGCGTGTACCAGCAGGTGCCTCCCCCATCACCATATGGCGCCCTCGCTCGCCCCCGACTGGGCTCCTCGCCCAGCTCGCCGCCGCTCGGGGAGCCAGCGGAGCCAGCGGGGCGCGGGGAACCCAGAAGAGCCAGCAGCACGGCTTAGGGAGCGTGACCCGGCCTCGCGTGGACCCCAGCCCAACCTGTCAAAGCGCACGCGCAAACCGACAGACGGGCTGTCACACTCGCTCAGGGACTCACCTCGGGTCACGCCTCGCACACTAGGATCCGCCCACGAAGTCGCTGCAGCCCGCACCCGGCCGCGACCCCCGCCCCGCAGCCACCGCCGCCGCCAGCACTGACACCCGGATCCCGCGCTGGCTCCGCCCAGGTGGAGGGGGCGAGGCCGCAGCAAGAGTTGGAGCGCTGTGTGGGTGGAGCCTATGGGGGGCGGGGCCATCGTGAGTTGGTGTCTGGAGGTGGGCGTGGTCTTGTGGCCTGGGGGATCCGCAAGAGGAGGAGCCAGGAGGTGGGCGTGGCCTGTCGGGGATTGGGACCCAGCGAGAGTCCGAGCGCAGTGGGCGAGGTCTTGCAGGCGGAGGTAGGTCTAGCAGGTGCGGGGGGGCCCCTAAAAGAGGCTCTCGATGTGGGCGGGGAATTGAGAGGTGGGCTTGGTAGTAGAGCGTCCACGGCAGGAGGCTCGACAGGAGTCCAGCGACCCACAAGAAGCGGGCGGGGCATATACTTGGAGGGACTTTCCCCGAAGGTTGAGCCTCGCCGGGTGGCAGCAAGAGCCAATCAGATGAGAGCAGTGTGTGTGTGTGTGTGTGTGTGTGTGTGTGTGTGTGTGTATCTCCAAGAGGCGGGGTGGGTGGGGGCGCTAGATGTGAGGGTCCTGACAGGAGTGGAGCTATAGAGCCCTGGGGAGCAGGAAAGGGCATTAAGTCCCACCGTACTCTCTCCCAGAAACTACGTCTCCTTTTCCCTAACATAGAAAATGCCTTCTGTGCACTCTGTGGTTAAGAGGAAAACCTCAGCAGCTGGGTTCTAGTCCCGCCTCCACTTTCTAGGACTGGGACTCCTGACACATTTAACCTCTCCGAACTTCAGTTTTCCCATCTGTCAAGTGTGTAGCCATGTTTTTGTTTTTAATTTTTTAATTTGGGGGATGGAGAGATGGCTCAGTGGTTAAAAGCTCTTTTTCTCAGCACCCACATGGTGGCTCACAACCATCCATATTCCAGGGGATCTCACCCCCACCCTTCTTCAAGCAGCAAGAACCAAAGTGGACAGACATAAATGTAGGCAAAACACTCATGTAAAATAAAAATTTTAAATCTAAATTTTTTTTTCAGACAAGGTCATTTATTCCAGGCTTGCCTGAAACTCATTATGTAGCCAAGAATAAATAAACTGACCCTCTTGCGTCCACCTCTAAAGGTCTGGGATTGCGGGTATGCAAAACCATGCCTTGTTTATGTGGTGCAGGGAAGGAGCCTGAGCCTTTTTGTGTACTAAGCAAGCACTCTCCGCCCCCAACCCATTTTCTCCGCAGTGCAGGGGGCGAAGACCAGGCCTTCATGAATGTTAGACACACTCCATGTCCCACACAGTCCTAAAGGGTGCTGGATTACACTGTTCAATCCGCTTAAGGACTCCCGGAGTTAAAACACGTTTTAGAAATAAGGAAACTAAGGATCAAAGAAAGGCAGATATTTGTTTGAGGCCACACAGCAAGATGTGGAATTCAAAATAATATAGTGGCCATCACGATGGACAAGTGGGCAAAGGCACTTGCCCTAGGCCTGCTGACCCACAGGGTCCCAAGTCTCTAGAGTACCACTCACCTAGGTTCACATCTCAGCATGGATGCTATGGACTAGGGAGAGACGAAGCAAGTTCTATCTTGTCTTGCACACACACGCCACTCACGCTCACATCTCATCGGTAGTGTCAATGGGCCATGAAATACAACTGTGCCTGAGGTGGGAACCGGCTGTTGCTGTAGTAACACAGAGTCAGGGCAATGGTTAGCACCAGCCAGGCATACAGCAAGGACTCATAAATGGTCATCATTAGTGGAGATTTGCTGGAGCTGCGATAGCTCACACTCCAAAGCATCATGCAACAGAAATGGGGAAACTTGAGACTCTAGGTGCTATACTAGTGCGCACATGCACGCGCACACACACACACACACACACACACACGCATGCACACACACACGCATACACACACACACACACACACACACACACACACACACACACACCACCTGGCTTCTGTGGTGGAAATATGACCACAGCCATCTCCAAAGAAGCATTTATTGGCACACGAGGCCTGTGTTAAAGTCTCTGGAGCCCCAGAGCGAGGCCAGCAAGGCAGAGCCCATTACTCAGCAGGCAGCCCAGGTTGCAGAGGGAAGACAAACCGTGGTAGTGGAAGAATTTCTGGCGAAGAGCACTGTACTTGGGGTCCTTCTCCCTCAGCTGGCGGTAGGGGTCAGGGCCCTGGTGGCTGCCTGGCACCTCTGTCCCCAGGCCTCGATCTTTCTCCACAGTCTGTAGGGCCCACATGACAGCCGTGGTGCGGGCCTCCAGCCAGCGTGCATTGATAGTGGCCAGTGTTAGGCTCAGGAGCAGTAGAGCGAGCTGAGGACAGTGACGGGGAGGCAAAGTGAGGAGGGTGACGATCTGAGAGAGGGTATGCCAACCTCCTCACAGCCCAGAGAGAGTGGGGACCCTGAGAGCAGTAAAGAATCTATGGCTTCTTCTCTTCTGCTCCCTGGCCCAGGGCACAGTCTGTACCCCTAACACCTAAGCTTGTCCCTTGAACACCTAAGCTGCCTCTTCAAAACAAAACGTGTTTTTTTGCAGTACTGAGAATTGATTTTCGGGCCTCAGACGCAGTGTAAGTTCTACGGCTGAGCTACATACCCAGCCATTTGCTCACTTGTAGGTGGTATATACACATGTTCATGTATGTGCACATGTGCTTGCTGGTACACATGTATGTGGGGGGGGTTCTACCTTTTTTTGGGTGGTAGGGGTAGGGTAGGAGTGGGGTGGGAATGGGGAGGTGTTTCAAGATAGGGCTTCTGCCCTAGCTGTCCTGGAACTCGATCTGTAGACGGTTGGCCTCAAACTCACAGAGGCCTGCTTCTGCCTCCCAAGTGCTGGGATAAAGGTGTGCATAACCACCACCTGGCCCTTTTTCTTTTTTAAAAATTTTACTGCATTTACTTGTGTGTGTGTATGTGCAGACTCGAGGGAGTCATTTCTCTTCTTCCTCCATGTAGATCCTCAGGAGTCCAACTCAGATTGTCATCAGGCTTAGCAAGCAAGGGCCTTTGCTTGCTAAAGCGGCCACCTTAGTTTTTAAGGAGGTGTCCATTATTGATCCCTGAACTCCCTCATTCAGCTGGACTGACTGGTTGGCCAATGAGCTTCAGGGATCTGCCTGTCTCCACCCCTGACTCCCACTGCTCCTGTGCTGGGTAACTCCTCTGGGTCTGGTAATTGGATGGAGCTGAGGATTCAAACTCAGGTCCTCACGTTTCTGCAGGGAGCACTTTTCTGCCCAAGTCATCCCCCAGCCTCCACCCTTCCCTTTGAGGCAAGTTCTCACTAAGTTGCCTGGGCTGGAGTGAAACTCATTATGTAGCCAAGGCTGGCCTTGAATTTGCAATCCTCCTGGCTAAGCCCCCCAGAGAGCTGGGATGACAGGATGCCCACCTGGTCTCCCCAAAAGTAAGACAAATAACACTCATGGTTCTTTCGTTCCCTCTGCTCAAAAGCACACAGTTTAAAAGAGGGCCCATCTCTTCTGTGACCCCTGGAACTGACACTGAACCAACAGGAACTGAATCAAACACCTGGGAAATGCCAGCTACCCATAACCCTCTCTGACCTCTAAGAGATTATTCTTTTGTGGGGAGTGAGTTGAGATAGGATCACAGTAGCTTCAGGCTCCCAATGTGACTGACACTGACCTTGAACTCCTGATCTTCCCACCAACTCCAAATGCTGGGATTATAGGTGTCATGGCCATGTCAGCCTTGGTTTTTTTCATTTTCATTTTAATTTTATTTTGGTGTTTTGAGACAGGGTTTCACTGCACAGACCTGGCTGTTCTGTAACTGGATCTGTAGACCAGCATAGCCTCAGACTTACAGATGTCTGCATCCTGGGAGGTGGGATAAAAGGCATGTGCTGCCTTCTAACTGTCCTTGAACTCTCTATGTAGGCCAGGTCAGCCTCTAACTCACAGTGATTCTCCTGCCTCTGCCTCCGGAATGCTGGAACTAAAGGTGCACACCACTACACCTAGCTTGGTTTTGTTGTTGTTTTTGAAACAGAGTCTTAATATGTAGCCCAGGCTAGCCTGGAACTTGTGCAATCTCCCTGGCTCATCTTCGCAAATTCTGGGGTAACAAGTGTGTGTGTGTGTGTGTGTGCGCGCAAGTGTGTGTGGTGTGTGTGCAAGTGTGTGTGTATGTGTGTATGTGTGTGTAGTGTGTGTGCAAGTGTGTGTGTAGTGTGTGTGCAAGTGTGTGTATGTGCGCGTGCAAGTGTGTGTGTGTGTGTGTGCAAATGTGTGTGTGTGGTGTATGCACCACCACACTGGGCTGAGAGACCACTCTTGATACAACAAGTCTTACCCACATCTGAAAACTTTAAGAGCAGAGGGAGGGAAGGGTGAGGAAATCTGAGCTGCAAGAATTGTTCCTTACATTGTGACTGAGGGAACGTGTAGACAGGAGTGTGGAAACCTAAATTCCCAGTCCGGCTAGTTTTTACACAATGAACTGAGGTCGGAACCTCAGCTGAGCTGAGTCACTCCAGTTTGGCAGGAGGCCCAGCTATTGGGCAGAAAGGAAATAGGAGCCAATGGGGAAGATAAGGCTGCAGAGAGGGCTGCCAGGGGCAGCTCTTCAGGATGTGTGCTCTGCTTAGGGACAGTAACCAGCTATGTCTTTACCAGGAACAACAGGCGTTTCTTTTCCCCTTTCAAAACAACGCCACTTGAGCTGGTTGTGGTAGCACACTCCAGGAGGATATCCCGAAAAGGGGGAGCTGGAGAATCACAGGTTTGAGGCCAGCCTGGGCTACACTTTTGGGGGTGTAGAGATGACTGGTTCAGCATACTGCTCTTGCAGAGGACCGAGTTCAGTTCCCATCACCCACTTTAAGCAGCTCACAGCTGCCTGTAACTACAGTTCTAGGGGGATTTGTCACCCTTGACCTCTGAGGGTACCCAAACATATATGCAAACAGAGACAGCAAACATAAATGAAAACAGTGAAATCTGGGTGCTAGTGATGCACTCAAGAGACAGATGCCAGCCTGGCCTAGAGAGAGTTCCAGGACAGCCAGGGCTACACAGTG